TATCAAGTCACCATTAACTACTCGTAATTTACATGTCCTAGTTAGTATCTACTATATCCACAAACGGCATCCATATCATGGAACCAAAGTATGTATTGATCGCATCTGCTATCGACTTGAAACATTGTGGAATATCACCTTTAAAGTATTTGTTGTGAGCAATGTGATAGTCTTAGAAAATTTGTCAACAGTGATTCAAAATGAAAAACGTCCCTCTCAAAATCGATGTGCTAACAGTGGCATGTCTTAGGTAAAAGTTAGTGAATTGTGTGTGTTACATGGGATCTATTTACTTCTTGAGGATTTAAAGGGCCTGTTTCCAGTAATGTTATNATTTGAATCAGAGAAGGGGCCGTTTTGGAAACCGGCCCTTTGCTATAGAGTACAAAAATATTGAAGCTGTAGACCTCCATCAACCCGATCAAACCTCCGTAGACCTCCACCAACCCAACCAAGTCTCCCCCTGCCGTAGACCTTCATCAATCCGATCGAACCTCCGTAGACCTCCACAAACCCGACCAAGTCTCCCCCTGCCGTAGACCTTCATCAACCAGACCAAACCTGCAATAGTCCTCCATCAACCCGACCAAACCTGTCCCTGCCGTAGACCTCCATCAACCCGACCGAACCTGCCCCTGCCGTAGACATCCATCAACCCGATCAAACCTCCGTACACCTCCACCAACCCAACCAAGTCTCCCCCTGCCGTAGACCTTCATCAACCAGACCAAACCTGCAATAGTCCTCCATCAACCCGACCAAACCTGCCCCTGCGTAGACCTCCATCAATCCGATCAAACCTGCCGTAGTCCTCCATCAACCCGACCAAGTCGGCCCTGTCATAGTCCTCCATCAACCAGACCAAACCTGCAATAGTCCTCCATCAACCCGACCAAGTCGGCCCCTGCCGTAGACCTCCATCAACCCGATCAAGTCTGCCCTGTCGTAGTCTTTCATCAACCCGACCAAGTCTGCCCTTGCTGTAGACCTCCATCAACCCGACCAAGTCTGCCCCTGCCGTGGACCTTCACCAACCTGACAAAGTCTCCCCATATCGTAGACCTCCACCAACCCGACCAAACCTTCCGTAGACCTCCATCAATCCGACCAAACCTGCCGTCAGCCCGACCAAACCAGCCACAGTCCTCCATCAACCCGATCAAACCTCCTGGTATACACATCACGTGTACACGGCATTCGTTGTAACATGCCGGTATACTAATCACTTGTATTCGGCAGTCGTTGTAACATGCTGGTATACACATCACGTGTACACGGTAGTCGTTGTCACATGCTGGTATACACATCACGTGTACACAGCATTTGTTGTAACATGCTGGTATACACATTACGTGAACACGGCAGTCGTTTTATCATGCTGGTATACACATCACGTGTACCCAGCAGTCGTTGTAACATGCCGGTATACACATCACGTATACACGGCAGTCGTTGTATCATGCTGGTATACACATCACGTTTACTCGGCAGTCGTTGTAACATGCCGTNTGTCAAAGAGTTGTCAAATCTAGGTAAATATTTATATCTAGCCACTAAGCGGCGAAATTGATTAATTAGCTACACGTATTTATAATTTTTGTGCTTTTGTATTATGTTCTTTGTTTAGTTTGCACTTGTATGCTTATAGTCACTCTCCTATAACATATATACATGTACAATATATCATGATTACTTTGTACCTATAAGTCTTAAGACTTTTGGTGAATAAAGAACTTGAACTTGAACTTGAACTTGATATACATCACGTGTATACGGCAGTCGTTTTATCATGCTGGTATACACATCACGTCTACACGGCAGTCGTTGTATCATGCTGGTATACACATCACGTGTATTCGGCAGTCGTTGTAACATGCTGGTATACACATCACGTGTACACGGCAGTCGTTGTGACATGCCGGTATACACATCACGTGTACACGGCAGTCGTTGTAACACGCCGGTATACACATCCCGTGTACACGGCAGTCGTTGCAACATGCCGATATACACATCACTTGTACACAGCAGTCGTTGTAACATGCCGATATACACATCCCTTGTACACAGCAGTCGTTGTAACATGCCGGTATACTCATCACGTGTACACGGCAGTCGTTGTAACATGCTGGTATAGGCACCACGTGTCTACGGCAGTCGTTGTAACATGCTGGTATAAACATCACGAGTATACGGCAGTCGTTGTAATATGCCGGTATACACATCACGTGTACACAGCAGTCGATGTAACATGCTGGTACACACATCACGTGTACACGGCAGTCGTTGTAACATGCTGGTATAGGCATCACGGGTATACGGCAGTCGTTGTAACATGCTGGTATAAACATCACGAGTATACGGCAGTCGTTGTAATATGCCGGTATACACATCACGTGTTCACACTAAGCGTTGTAACATGCTGGTATAGACATCACGTGTACACAGTAGTCGATGTAACATGCTGGTACACACATCACGTGAACACGGCAGTCGTTTTATCATGCCGGTATATACATCACGTGTATACGGCAGTCGTTTTATCATGCTGGTATACACATCACGTCTAAACGGCAGTCGTTGTATCATGCTGGTATACACATCACGTGTACACGGCAGTCGTTGCAACCTGCCGATATACACATCACTTGTACACGGAAGTCGTTGTATCATCCCGGTATACACATCACGTGTACACGGCAGTCGTTGTATCATGCTGGTACACACATCACGGGAGCACGGCAGTAGTTTTATCATGCTGGTATACACATCACGTCTACACGTCAGTCGTTGTATCATGCTGGTATACACATCACGTGTACACGGCAGTCCCTGTAACATGCTCGTATAAACATCGCGTGTATTCGGCAGTCGTTGTAACATGCTGGTATACCCATCACGTGTACACGGCAGTCGTTGTAACATGCTGGTATAGACATCACGTGTACACAGTAGTCGATGTAACATGCTGGTACACACATCACGTGAACACGGCAGTCGTTTTATCATGCCGGTATATACATCACGTGTATACGGCAGTCGTTTTATCATGCTGGTATACACATCACGTCTAAACGGCAGTCGTTGTATCATGCTGGTATACACATCACGTGTATTCGGCAGTCGTTGTACCATGCTGGTATACACATCACGTGTACACGGCAGTCGTTGCAACCTGCCGATATACACATCACTTGTACACGGAAGTCGTTGTATCATCCCGGTATACACATCACGTTTACACGGCAGTCGTTGTAACATGCCGGTATACACATCACGTGTACCCAGCAGTCGTTGTAACATGCTGGTATACACATCATGTGTTCACGGCAGTCGTTGCAACATGCCGGTATACACATCACTTGTACACAGCAGTCGTTGTATCATGCCGGTATACACATCACGTGTACACAGTAGTCGTTGTAAAATGCCGGTGTGCACATAAACGTATATACTTTGATGCGGTATGTGAATGATGATAGACCGATCCAATGATATGTATATCTTTGTTCAACAACACAGTAATAGATGACAATGCCCCATTACTCACGTAAACATTCCAAATCATCAATCATGCAATAAAATAACAGACGTAGATTATTGTTGATGATTGGGAATGTTTACGTGAGTACTGGGGCCTTGTCATCTATTACTGTGTCATCACAAGATAGCTGTCTACACGCGTTTGTGCGCTTGCAATACATAATGCATTATTTAATACTTGCATAGGAAGATACCATTAATACATATCTGAATGAGTGTAGGTCTGATTATAAAAATGCGACCTTGAGATAATTCACTTTTGATAGAATTCATTTGGATAATTCTAATCTGACCCTTTTTATGTTTATCCTTTCCAAAACTGCTTATCAGAATCACGGAAAAATAAAGTTATAAAAGTGTCGGAATAACTTTTACTGTTGTTTGAACTTATTTTTATAATTCTATATCTACCGTGTTTCACTCATCATGTAAAAAATCACTTTGATATGGTCTAAGGTGATGTGACCTCAGTATGAGTTCACACTTTCCTTATATGACGTAAGCTATTGCTAAAGTGTCATCTGTAGACACCGTCACCAAACGGTCATGGCGGTTGTATGTCCCCATCATCGTCATACGATCTTGGCGATAGTGTGTCCCCATCATCTGTAGACACCGTCCTCATACAGTCTTGGCGATAGTGTGTCCCCATCATCTGAAGACACCGTCCTCATACAGTCTTGGCGGTTGTGTGTCCCCTTCATCTGTAAACACCGTCCTCAAACGGTCTTGGCGATTGTGTGTCCCCATCGTCTGTAGACACCGTTGTCATATGGTTTTGGCGGTTGAGTGTCCCCGTCGTCTGTAGACACCGTTGTCATATGGTTTTGGCGGTTGAGTGTCCCCATCATCTGTAGACACCGTTGTCATATGGTTTTGGCGATAGTGTGTCCCCATCATCTGTAGACACCGTCCTCATACAGTCTTGGCGATAGTGTGTCCCCATCATCTGTAGACACCGTCTTTATACGGTCTTGGCGGTTGTGTATCCCCTGCATCTGTAGAAACCGTCGTCATACGATCTTGGCAGCTGTGGGGCCTCATCATCTGAAGACACCGTCGTCATACGATCTTGGCAGCTGTGTGTCCCCATCATCTGTAGACACCGTCTTCATAAGTTCTTGGCAGTTGTGTGGCCCCATCATCTGTAGACACCGTCTTCATACGATCTTGGCAGTTGTGTGGCCCCATCATCTGTAGACACCGTCGTCAAACGGCCTTGAAAGTTGTGTGGCCCCATTATCTGTAGACATTGTCGTCAAATGGCATTGGAAGCTGTGTGGCCCCGTCATCTGTAGACACCGTCGTCACTCGAAGTAAGCTGTTGCGGAGATATTAAATCCCATTCAGTCAGATGACATTTATGTCGTAAGTCGACAACTCGATGGCAGAAATATGCCACCATACGTAATATCATTTGTGAAAGATATCAGAGAAAATTGCAGCACATTTTTATATTATAGGTTCAAAATAGAACACGAAGCAGTACATAATGTTTAGAATTTAGTAGTCAATTGTGGAATAAACAAAAGCGAGAACATTATTAAACACGACTTATCTCCCTTTACAGTATTAAACACGACTGGTGTCACTTTACAGTATTAAACACGACTGGTCTCCCTTTACAGTATTAAACACGACTTGTGTCACTTTACAGTATTTAACACGACTGGTGTCGCTTTACAGTATTAAACACGACTTATCTTCCTTTACAGTATTTAACACGACTGGTGTCCCTTTACAGTATTAAACACGACTTATCTTCCTTAACAGTATTTAACACAACTGGTCTCCCTTTACATTATTAAACACGACTGGTCTTCCTTTACATTATTAAATACGACTGGTCTCCCTTTACAGTATTAAACACAACTGGTCTCCCTTTACATTATTAAACACGACTTATCTCCCTTTACATTATTAAACACGACTGGTCTCCCTTTACATTATTAAACACGACTGGTGTCCCTTTACACTATTAAACACGACTGGTCTCTCTTTACATTATTAAACACGACTGGTGTACCTTTACAGTATTAAACACGACTTATCTTCCTTTACAGTATTTAACACGAATGGTGTCCCTTTACACTTTTAAACACGACTGGTCTCCCTTTACAGTATTAAACACGACTGATCCCCTTAACATTATTAAACACGACTGGTGTCACTTTACAGTATTAAACACAACTGGTCTCCCTTTACAGTATCAAACACGACTGGTCTCCCTTTACAGTATTAAACACAACTGGTCTCCCTTTATATATTAAACACGACTGGTCTTCCTTTACATTATTAACTACGACTGGTCTCCCTTTACAGTATTAAACACGACTGGTCTCCCTTTACATTATTAAACACGACTTATCTCCCTTTACATTATTAAACACGACTGGTGTCACTTTACAGTATTAAACACGACTGGTCTCACTTTACATTATTAAACACGGCTTATCTCTCTTTACGTTATTAAACACGACTGGTCTCCCTTTACAGTATTAAACACGACTGGTCTCCCTTTACAGTATTAAACACGACTGATCGCCCTTTAGAGTATTTAACACGAATGATCTCCCTTTACAGTATTAAACACGACTGATCCTCCTTTACAGTATTGAATAGGACTGATCGCCCTTTACAGTATTAAACACGACTGGTCTTCCTTTACAGTATTAAACACGATTGGTCTCCCTTTACAGTATTAAACACGACTGGTCGCCCTTTACAGTATTAAACACGACTGGTCTTCCTTTACAGTATTGAACAATACTGGTCTCCCTTTACAGTATTAAACACGACTGATCGCCCTTTAGAGTATTTAACACGACTGATCTCCCTTTACAGTATTAAACACGACTGATCTTCCTTTACAGTATTGAATAGGACTGATCGCCCTTTACAGTATTAAACACGACTGGTCTTCCTTTACATTATTAAACACGACTGGTCTCCCTTTACAGTATTAAACACGACTGATCACTGTTCTCCTTTTACATAGTTAAATCCCAAGAATTAGGTTTGTACAATAAAAATGGGTCTATGTGATGCAGAGTTATTGCAAAACCAGCGTTATCTGAAGTATTCAGACAGTACACGATGATCAACGGTGGGCCGATACAGTCGATGTGCCCTATCCGTGACACACTGTTCTTGTTCTATTTACGAAGCAATCATCTGTACAAGGGACCCCGTTCGACTATAAGATGTCCTCCCGCCAGTAGCAGTTTTCGGTCGTCTGCTGCTGAAAGTTGGGGTAATGATGGTACGGGTAGGACGTGCAGATTTTGGTCGCCTTGACAACATTGAAGAAAAGTCGTATGCCTCGTCACGTGTTACAACGAACCGCCGAACGTGTTGGTGTCCGTCAGGGTGAATATTTGCGTTTGGAGGGAGATGACATGGCTTTGACTTGATGAACACTGTTCCTCCCGGTTTAGGAACCTTGACATCAAATGAAGAATCGTCCTGTAAAGAGTGAGGAAGATAGAAATATAACGCGTTTCATTTAAATAGGCCAATGAGATGGTGTCTGTTGTACGTTTTTGAAGTTTAACTTAAATAAAACATTGATGGAAGGATTCGTGATTTCTGTCTTCCTCTGCCACATGTCACGTTGTCTCAAATAGCACCGTTTTGTTTCAACAACCAACAATATTTTTCGCGCTGGTTATGTATATACATATACTTAACCGTGATAATAGTGGAAACCAATGCGACAAGTGCATACATCACGTACTTACCTCTTTCTCGTCGCGGATGCTGAACCTCCTCAGAGGAGCAACTTGTGGTGCAACCTTGACTGGTTTGTTCTCTCCGTCGGAGCAGAAGTGTTTGATCCGGTCTTCGAGATTACAAAGATTTCTTTCGCTCGTTTCCCAGTCAAAATAATCCTCGTCGAAGGGTTCCATGGCTGTCAAAGCACTTGTTGAACTGCCCCCATTTCTCATGCTCGTTTTATTAATTTCGCTGACGGCCATAGCAGAACAAATCACTTTAGACCGTGCTTCCGTTTTCTCCTTCTGTACCAGATCTATCTGTTCCAGCACATCCGACACGACACCGTTTGGTTCATCCCTTGTTGGTGACCCCACGGCTTCCTCTTCTGCATTGTTACACTCGGTAAGGTGGAATATCCCGGCTGTATGTGGTCTAGAGGTGGGCGACTGACTAAATTCTCTATGTATACCGAGTGCTGTACGGGGCCGCAAGCTGGTATGGGATACTTGTGGGTAATCCCACGCCGATTGCGTAGTCCGGAGAAGATCGTTCTCCGCTCTCATACTTTTCAGCTGTTTCATACTTCGCGGCACCTTTCTACGAGGTCGATAATCATACAGTCTATTTTCCACCTTACTGACATGTCCCTTCAGTTTCATTTCATTTATCTCTATCATTTTTGCACGTTTTTCGGATTTTATCCGATAGTACAAGGAATTTGGCACGCACGGTTCAATGAGGGGCGCTTTGTCCTTTAGGAAGAACTGAATCAGCTGTTCCATGGCCACTGATTTGGATCGATCTATTTTAGCTTTACAATTGTTCTCGTCCTTAGACGGTAATTTTTCCTGTAACTTTTTCTGGAGTATATCTAACAGTGGTACTTGAGATCCCTTTCCTGAGCTGGCTCTACACATAACCTTCTGTAGGGCGGTCTTACACAGTTTACGGATGGTGTGTATGTTTTTCTTGGCTATCAACCTGTCGTAGTTCTTTGTGTCTAGTACCATCACTGTCGTGTTCTCGGTACAGTTGACCGTACAGGTGCTCCTCTCTAGCTCCATCACCATCTCAATGTCGCCTAAAAGTAGACAAGGTATTCTTATAAATATTGTAGATGTTATTTGTGCTTAATAATTTAAGCTGGTAACATAGTTGCCTCTAAATTACTGTCTGATTTGAATCATGGAAAAATACATACGCAATATTATAATATATGTAGACGCTGATGTTATGCGTGTTGGTGCTATCTCTGGCTTCCTTGCACTCGACAGTGTTACTATTTTCCTGGTGATTTCGGTTGGTTATACTCGATACTGTGATAAGATTCGTCAGACAAGATTCTGTGACAAGACTTGCTCGTGTACCTAGGATTGCGTCAGACAAGATTCTGTGACAAGACTTGCTCGTGTACCTGGGATTGCGTCAGACAAGATTCTGTGACAAGACTTGCTCGTGTACCTGGGATTGCGTCAGACAAGATTCTGTGACAAGACTTGCTCGGGTACCTAGGATTGCGTCAGACAAGATTCTGTGACAAGACTTGCTCGTGTACCTGGGATTGCGTCAGACAAGATTCTGTGACAAGACTTGCTCGTGTACCTGGGATTGCGTCAGACAAGATTCTGTGACAAGACTTGCTCGTGTACCTAGGATTGCGTCAGACAAGATTCTGTGACAAGACTTTTACCGATAATGTGACTCGCCTACCTATGACGTCATTAGATTCGATACAACACAGCTCCACCGTACGGCTCATCACCCTCTTCTCGGCCGCCGCGTACCCCTCCTTCCGGCGTATCTGTATGTGATGCTGAGTGAAGTTCCGATCTAGTTTCTTTACGATTTTGTTATATGAATTTCTAATAGAAGAGAAAATAAAAGAATGCGTTATTGAGTTATAGCAAGAAGTCGATACTTTACGAATATCAAATTGTTGATACATATGAAAATGGGTTCATACTTGATTATAATTAGCCTGGTTTGCATATTCACACTGCAGACCTGCATATACATTGAAGAGAAACTAGGCACGTTATTTGTTACTAAAATGAAATAATTTCTATTCTTTAATACATTGATGCAGTATCTTCAAAATACTTTCCATGAGGTTAAACGAATCGCCACTTTCCTGTTATTGCTTATATTGTCGTTAAGTGTTTTGTTTTTCAAGCTCCATATGTACCAGTTTATCAATTACAAAAGTTCAACTTAGAACACTTATTTTGTATTCCGTTAAAGAATGAGTGTTGTGTGGATGTATTCTAAACGACATTGCCTTAGTAAACTACAAATATGTACACAGAGCTATCGATGATCAACCCAAAATAACAACGTTTGTTTTCCCTCGTTCCCACGGGTGTTCACAGGGGTAATCCGGATGTGAATCTATAAACATACAGTTTGTGACAGTAGTAATAAAAAATGTATCTGAAGTTCTAAACAAACTCAGAAAAGAGACAAGTACGAAGTTTGCAAAATAATGTGACAAAATGTAGAAGAAATGGATCCCACACATTAGAGATTGATTTTTCTGATTACGGACATTTCAAGCATTATTTTGTTTCCTTGCTAGGTCACATAATAGTACAATATGTAAATCAATGTCTCCCATTAAGTTTTGTGCATCACAATGACACCCGATCGATTGTTATATCACCTGGGACGCGTGTTGTCCTCATTCTATAGGGTGGATGTACCTTCCAGTGTAGGAATCACATGATTTACCTACACCTCCAAACGTACAGTCAATATAATCGGACACAATCATTGTCTTCTAGAAAATCAAATGAACCACACAATATGGCGACAATGACAAGTGACACTTTTTGGGTTAGTTGTTAGCTTATTTCGGGCTCGTACTTTGTCGGAAAATGACATGTTTTTCATCATTCCAACATCTGTCTTTTAGATTTTCTGTTACAGATGCTATTATCGGTAATGGGTCATTCATAAATTCCTTGATACTACCAAACTAGCTGTAACGTTACATTTCTTTGTATAATGAACTCCTAAGAATAGGTGAAATTAAGCGGAAGCCCGTCTATAAGAGGGCTTACATTTATATATTATATGAAACACAGAACAGCTGTGGTGCTCTGGCTTCCGCTTGATATCGGGGTATTTGCAAACCAGCAGGATATGTACTTATCGTATATGTTTGGTATTTGTGAAGAAATTAGCACGCTAATAGTAAGTAAACGAGCACGGCACCTTACAGTGTACATGTATGGTCGATAAACTCCAAGTGTCGCTATTTGAAACCGTGTGATCGAATAGCACATCTGATTCAAATTAACACCATTTTCAATTAATAGGGTTCTTATCAGAATTTGAATGTTTGTATAAGTGTAGACAAACACGACAAGGGTGTGATGTACTTAACCAGTCGGTACGTTCTCTTTTATGTTCCTCCGTACCCAAGTAAGTAATGAAGTAGGAACAGCAGCGCGCGCCACGTTTCTAAGTAACATGACAATAATTATACATTTTAATTGGTACTTACAGGTGTCTTGATATGTGATCTGTAATACCTATACTTTTTACATACAATTTGGTGACCGTCTTTTGTTGGTGTTTTATTGAATGTACGTATGCCCTTAAAACAGAATACTGATTAAATATTTTAATTGCTTTATAGTAATGTTGTGATTACAGATCAGGAAATCCGTGTAAGGTAAAGGCCAATACACTGTAACCTATGACCTGTGTTTGACAACCAGCTTATACCTGTATACACACACTACCCTCTGTTATGTTTGTGATGCTACGGTAGTTTACTTTCCAAGTATCGTGTTTACTTTCAGAGAACCACTCATATTCCGAACTTAGATAACTGTGAGCTACTCGGTTAGAAATGTCCTCGTTCGTGGAAAGTAACGACGGAACAATTTTACTTTGTTTTGGTTCAATGAACTCCATGTTAATGACATGCTATGGCTAACAAATAAGAAAATACTGACCAAAACACATGGCTTGTGATAAACACATGGCTTGTGATAACTGTAACTCTTCATCTGTTCTTACTTAGTAACACGACACTTCAGGAAACTATTTTCAATTCATCCATATTACCATTTTTTCTTCATATCGCACAAACTTCGTCCTTAATTAAGATTTACAGAGTTGAGCGACGATTTAATGTTTGACAAGCTCTTATCTGTATTTATAAGTATGCTCTAGGAGTACATACATGTACCATTGAACAGCTCGATCAACAAAACGAGGTGGGTGAAGTATTGGATTAAAGAAGCGATAATTTGTATATGAAATATCAAAGTGGCGTTATTAACATTAAAAAATAGAGATATTTGAAGAAAGAGAAATGTCAATGTAATAGATACTAGTCATGGAACGTGCAGACAAAACAGGGTAACGTAAATACCTAATTTAAAACTTTATGAGTGAGAGAGTTCAATAATTAACCAAATAAACGAATGAAATATATATTGCTTCAATCAGGTACTCATTGAAATTGTATTACATATTAAACCGTTAAGAAAATATTAATGAAAGGCACATGTATATCAAAGCGTCAGAACAGCATCACAACACAAGAATAATATGCAAATGTAGAATGCAATATACGACAACGAATAAGGACAATATATACTGAAGCGTCAATGAATAAGGACAATATATACTGAAGCGTCAACGCACAAGGACAATATATACTGAAGCGTCAACGCACAAAGACAATATATACTGAAGCGTCAACGCACAAGGACAATATATACTGAAGCGTCAACGCACAAGGACAATATATACTGAAGCGTCAACAAATAAGGACAATATATACTGAAGCGTCAACAAATAAGGACAATATATACAGAAGCGTCAACGCACAAGGACAATATATATTGAAGCGTCAACAAATAAGGACAATATATACTGAAGCGTCAACGCACAAGGACAATATATACTGAAGCGTCAACGCACAAGGACAATATATACTGAAGCGTCAACGCACAAGGACAATATATACTGAAGCGTCAACAAATAAGGACAATATATACTGAAGCGTCAACAAATAAGGACAATATATACAGAAGCGTCAACGCACAAGGACAATATATATTGAAGCGTCAACAAATAAGGACAATATATACAGAAGCGTCAACGCACAAGGACAATATATACTGAAGCGTCAACGCACAAGGACAATATATACTGAAGCGTCAACGCACAAGGACAATATATACTGAAGCGTCAACAAATAAGGACAATATATACTGAAGCGTCAACAAATAAGGACAATATATACAGAAGCGTCAACGCACAAGGACAATATATATTGAAGCGTCAACAAATAAGGACAATATATACAGAAGCGTCAACGTACAAGGACAATATATACTGAAGCGTCAACGCACAAAGACAATATATACTGAAGCGTCAACGCACAAGGACAATATATACTGAAGCGTCAACGCACAAGGACAATATATACTGAAGCGTCAACAAATAAGGACAATATATACTGAAGCGTCAACAAATAAGGACAATATATACAGAAGCGTCAACGCACAAGGACAATATATATTGAAGCGTCAACAAATAAGGACAATATATACAGAAGCGTCAACGCACAAGGACAATATATACTGCAGCGTCAACGCACAAGGACAATACATGTATACAGAATACTGAGGCGTCAACGCACAAATACAAAAAATACTGAAGCGTCAACGAATAAGTACTGTACCATATATCTAATTGCGACACGATCAATGACAATGTATACTACAGTAGCAACACTCAGGGATAATGTAACCACAACCTAACACACCAAGACATAGTCTATCTTAGTTCAGTCAATACACTAAGATGAAAATACTGCAGCGGCAACACACAGGCAAAATTACCACCGAAATAACAAATCTCAATAACAAAAGGACGAAGTCTCAGCCGCCAAGAAACGACCTTAGACGCCGTGAAAACATGTCATCATTATAAACTCTGAAATATCAAAGACTAGGTCATAATGACAACAACAAAATTCTACTGCCTAGATTTAAACGCCTTAGGTTGACCCCTATCTGACTAGAGTATTAATTGCTAAGCACGATGCATGTATCCAGGAGGTTCAATACGTTACCACAGAGTCTAATGTAGTATATGAAGTTCCTTACGTAACCACAGAGTCTGGGGTGGTAGATGAAGTTCCTTACGTAACCACAGAGTCTGGGGTGGTAGATGAAGTTCCTTACTTAACCACAGAGTCTGGGGTAGTTAATGCTGTTCATTACTTTACCACAGAGTCTGGGGTAGTAGATGAACTTCCTTACGTAATCACAGGGTCTGGGGTAGTAGATGAAGTTCCTTACTTAAACACAGAGTCTGGGGTAGTAGATGAAGTTCCTTACTTAACCACAGAGTCTGGGGAAGTAGATGAAGTTCCTTACTTAACCCCAGAGTCTGGGGTAGTAGATGAAGTTCCTTACTTAACCACAGAATCTGGGGTAGTAGATGAAGTTCCATACTTAACCACATAGTCTGGGGTAGTAGATGAAGTTTCTTACTTAACCACAGAGTCTGGGGTAGTAGATGAAGTTCATTACTTAACCACAGAGTCTGAGGTAGTAGATGAAGTTCATTACCTAACCACAAAGTCTGGGGTAGAAGATGAAGTTCCTTACTTAACCACAGAGCCTGGGGTAGTAGATGAAGTTTCTTACTTAACCACAGAGTCTGGGGCAGTAGATGAAGTTCCATACTTAACCACATAGTCTGGGGTAGGAGATGAAGTTCCTTACTTAACCACAGAGTCTGGGGAAGTAGATGAAGTTCCTTACTTAACCCCAGAGTCTGGGTTAGTAGATGAAGTTCCTTACTTAACCACAGAGTCTGGGGTAGTAGATGAAGTTCATTACGTAAACACAGAGTCGTGGGTAGTAGATGAAGTTCCATACTTAACCACATAGTCTGGGGTAGTAGATGAAGTTCCTTACTTAACCACAGAGTCTGGGGTAGTAGATGAAGTTTCTTACTTAACCACATAGTCTGGGGTAGTAGATGAAGTTCCTTATTTAACCACAGAGTATGGGGTGGTAGATGAGGTTCATTACTTAACCACAGAGTCTGAGGTAGTAGATGAACTGTGGTCTACTACTCCAGCTCCACAAAAAGAGGATGACTGGTATGTTACTACTGAGAAAAGGAAAGCTAGTAATTTTGAAATTTACGTTTATCAAAACGTTTGATCGTGAGTTGACCAATATTGTGATATGTTAGGTAAATGGAATGATTTGAAGCTGAAAATCAGTGTATAGTGTATTTAAGTAAGAGCTCCTTCAGAACATTATTGTTGAAATTTAGTTTGTTATGACGAGCCACCCATTGAAACTCACCTTCCTATTTCCTTGGCGATTGGATTTATTTCTTGTTTCGTCAACAATGGGAACTGGCCGTTGTGGTGGGACGGATTCACGGTAACCTTTGCTTGACCACTGTAGTAAAAAAACACGTGAGTTAATTGTATGTATACCTCTATTTATTATTGAATATGACAGGTGGACTTCATTAAATATAAACAAAAGTAGTATAATCACATTATCTTACACTGCAGCTCATACAAACATATCGAGTGTACTTTGACAAACACTGCGGGACGAGCAAGCAGGATTGACAAACACACTGCGGGACGAGCGAGCAGGATTGACAAACACTGCGGGACGAGCGAGCAGGATTGACAAACACTGCGGGACGAGCGAGCAGGATTGACAAACACTGCGGGATGAGCAAGCAGGATTGACAGACACACTGCGGGATGAGCAAGCAGGATTGACAAACACACTGCGGGACGAGCGAGCAGGATTGACAAACACACTGTGGGACGAGCGAGCAGGATTGACAAACACTGCGGGACAAGCGAGCAGGATTGACAAACACACTGCGTGATGAGCAAGCAGGATTGGTGAACACACTGCGGGACGAGCGAGCAGGATTGACAGACACACTGCGGGACTAGCATGCAGGATTGACAAACACACTGCGGGATGAGCGAGCAGGATTGGCAAACACACTGCGGGACGAGCAAGCAGGATTGACAGACACACTGCGGGACGAGCGAGCAGGATTGACAAACACTGCGGGATGAGCAAGCAGGATTGACAGACACACTGCGGGACGAGCAAGCAGGATTAACAAACACATTGCGGGACCAGCAAGCAGGATTGACAAACACACTGCGGGACGAGCGAGCAGGCTTGACAGACACACTGCGGGATGAGCGAGCAGGATTGACGAACACTGCGGGACGAGCGAGCAGGATTGACAGACACACTGCGGGACGAGCAAGCAGGATTGACAGACACACTGCGGGATGAGCGAGCAGGATTGACGAACACTGCGGGACGAGCGAGCAGGATTGTCAAACACACTGCGGGACGAGCGAGCAGGATTGACAGACACACTGCGGGACTAGCAAGCAGGATTGACAAACACACTGCGGGACGAGCAAGCAGGATTCAGAAGAGCTCTGTCATGTTGTTATCCCGTAACATCATCGTACAGAAAATAGAACGGCAAACTGACATGTATCTTTACTTCATGGGTTTTGAAAGGTCTTTCGACTGTACATCGGAAGAGGATATAAGTGCTTTAGTATTCTATTATTTACCAGCAAAGATAATATACAGGCAAACGATGAGAAATTATCCTGTCTAAGGATCGTTTTAACAACAACAAAAACGACAGGAAGAACAGGCGAGGAGATAACAACAAGAGTCCACTTAACTCGTCATGTGTGTGCCATCATAAAAAACTCAGTATTGAATTCCTTGCAGATTTCCAACAAAACCAAACTGTGAATCGTTAAAAACAATCTGATTACCTTCCTCTTCTATTGATCACAATGTTGGAAACTACGGAACACGCTGTTATGCTGCTATGGCGAATTGTGATATCATACTTTTGTTTGTTTCTGTTTTACGTCATTTTAACAGCTATTGTCATTTAAGGACGTGCCAGGTTTTTGTGGTGGAGTAAAGCCTGAGTTCCCGGAGAAAAACCATCGACCTACGGCCAGTACCTCGCGACTGCCCCACGTAGGCCTCGAACCCGCGACCCAGTGGTGGATGGCTAGTGGTAGCAGAATGTCAGACGCCTTAACCACTTGGCAACCGCGGCCACCAGACAACCAGCTGCGACCCTTTTCTGTGCAGTGATTTGACATGCACTAATGAAAGAGCAATATGTCACTTTTAGAGAGGAAATCTACTGGACAACTGATGGAAGAGCAATATGTCACTTTTAGAGAGGAAATCTACTGGACAACTGATGGAAGAGCAATATGTCACTTTTAGAGAGGAAATCTACTGGACAACTGATGGAAGAGCAATATGTCACTTTTAGAGAGGAAATCTACTGGACAACTGATGGAAGAGCAATATGTCACTTTTAGAGAGGAAATCTACTGGACAACTGATGGAAGAGCAATATGTCACTTTTAGAGAGGAAATCTACTGGACAACTGATGGAAGAGCAATATGTCACTTTTAGAGAGGAAATCTACTGGACAACTGATGGAAGAGCAATATGTCACTTTTAGAGAGGAAATCTACTGGACAACTGATGGAAGAGCAATATGTCACTTTTAGAGAGGAAATCTACTGGACAACTGATGGAAGGAGTAAACGAGGAAGGCCAAAGGCAGCAGCTGAGAAAAAACTGAAACATATCGGGTTCACGTGGAAAACAGTAGAACTGAACGCAAAGGGTCGGGTTTGATGGAGAAAGTGTGTGGTTGCCTTACGCGGTGTGTGGTCGGTGTGTGGTAGGGTTTGATGGAGAAAGTGTGTGGTTGCCCTATGCGCCAAATGGCACGAAGAGAATGTCAGTTAGTACATATTCCTACATTTAGTTGTGTCATTGCAGTGTGCCAGTATACTTACCCCAGCAGGAGTACAAGTACATAAGCCGACTCCCCCTGTCTTACAATGGTACCACCAAAGGGATACTTACCTCAGCAGGAACACCAGTCCGCAGGCCGAATCCCCTTGTCTAACAATGGTACTGCCAAATGGATAATGCTCTTTCCTTATACTCATTTCTAAAAGACGTTTGAACTTTGGAGACCAATTATGAAAGAACGGACTCTCGTTGATGAAATCCTTCTTTTCTTCATATTCTTTTTCTTGTTTTGCCTGCAATTAGATAATTGTTAATCGATTCTATTTGTTTACCCTCTGTATCATTGAGTAAAGTATCGTTGTTTTATAGGACGCCACTGCTCTGTACAATTAACTAAGACGAGTTAATGTAACAGACTTGTCGTAAGTGCTATCCACAAGATGTACAGGTGTATATTGATCTACCGAGACATATTAATACCTTACCTTGACTGATCGGTTGAAGAGTTCTCGGCTAATAACCAGTAGATCGGTTTCCTCGTCTGCTATAATGGTGGCGTTTCTCACAGAGTCCTCACTCATCAAGGCCACCTCTCCGAAACTGTTACTGCCCTCTGTATTAAATATGACAGGTAAAACTTGTTTTGAAAAACCGTATTGTAGTTATAAACATGCTGCTTTATATAATTTCATCTATTTTATAACTTGCGTAAGATAACACCTTTTCCTACACAGTACGATGATAACTTGTCTGCCACAATTTTTCATTAACGTGACGGTTTTAATCAAAACGATTTTTTCTCTTTTCTGCTGCTGAATACATTATCTCATAGATGACTTCAATCACACAAAAGATTTTTTTTATTTTCCTTTTGCTGATCCGAGGGGTTTTCAAATTTGGTAAAACCCGAGGCTTTGCCGATGGTTTTGCCAGATTTTAAAATCCCGATGGTGAAATGTCCATATACTACATCCTTGGGCACGACACGTCATTGTTGAGCCATTGTGACGCCACGTCACGTGAAATCGGATGTAAGATAGACATTCCCTACACCCCTTTCTTACACTGGACAGCTCTATCTTACACACCGGGAAATGAGAGAATAAACTGTACTACACCTATATCTTACGTACAAGGAACCCTTCATTTAGGCCATATTACCAAACCCTTTACTCTGTATGGCAGTCAGCTTTCTATATATACACATCGCTTTTATTCATTTGTATTGCAAGAAAAGTCTAAGCCTTACTTCATGGGCTGTTCTGCCTATGCTTCATTTGTAACATATCGTTTTGTTTTAAATAATATATATATATATATATATGTGTAGTTAAACATCTGTTTTTTGTATTCAAAGTCTTGCCACATTTCACAATATCTCACGTCAAATACGTCTTTGATAGATTTGTTTTCCCTTTAAAGGGATTTTTATTTTTTTATAGATCACCAACAATAAAGCTACAATAACTTTTTACATGGACTTTATATCATAAGAACAGAGCACCGTTTTCATTGTCATGTTCCAGTACTATCAAATGTGAAGCTTTGAATCTCGACAATCAAATGATCGATGGTTTGTGTTTGTGTTATGCAACCAGCCTTTATTGTACGTGTAAATGTTACATCGACCAGGATATAGAGGCCATCACAAGTGGATGTCAGCCGTGTTACACGACAGAAATTAAACCTACACCAAAGTAACATTCGTCAAACTAACACTCCTTCAAAAGCGGATAACCTTTTCTTAAACACTTGCTTTATTGTCAGTGATGAGACTTCTCTTCTGATCAAGAACGAACTGTGCAAAAAATAGTCAAGTAGGTCGTGTTTGTTTTAACAATAATTTGTAAAGGATAGGTGACTTTTGAATACCGATATTGATTTGAACAATAAAACGGTGGTACTATAGCCGTATCTAATGTGGAATCGGAAATAAAATATCACATCAACAATGCACCCTGTTTATACATAAAGATACAAATAGAAAACATAATTACCTCATTACCCGAGGAGAAACCAAAACAATTATTACACAATATCAGGACCTGAGAAACATCAATGAAAGGAAAACAGCATCAAAACCCCATAAGACACTAAAACCAAAGTGTAGACATCATCAGGAACAAAGGTGACACCAAACCAAAAGGAAGACGAACAACAAGAACCGAATAGACACAAAACAAAGGCGAGTGAACAACATAAAGTGAAAAACGCCAAACAATATGAACAACAAGAACTGAAAAAGTACAAAAATAAAACAAAAACAATAACCTCAACTGATAGGACAACGAAAACAAGAGAAATGGCAACAAACAGAACTGAGGAGACACAAAATAATAGAAAAGAACAACAGCACGATCTAAGGAGACACAAAACAAAAGGAGGAACAAAACACAATCTAAGTAGACACCAAAACAAAAGGGGGAACAAAACACGAACTAAGGAGACACCAAAACAAAAGGAGGAACAAAACACGAACTAAGGAGACACCAAACAAAAGGACGAACAAAACACGAACTAAGGAGACACCAAACACAGGGACGAACAAAACACGATCTAAGTAGACACCAAAACAAAAGGGGGAACAAAACACGAACTAAGTACACACCAAAACAAAAGGGGGAACAAAACAAGAACTAAGGAGACACCAAACAAAAGGACGAACAAAACACGAACTAAGGAGACACCAAACACAGGGACGAACAAAACACGAACTAAGTAGACACCAAAACGAAAGGAGGAACAAAACACTAACTAAGGAGACACCAAACAAAAGGACGAACAAAACACGAACTAAGGAGACACAAAAACAAAAGGAGGAATAAAACACGAATTAAGGAGACACTAAACAAAAGGAGGAATAAAACACGAATTAAGGAGACACTAAACAAAAGGAGGAATAAAACACGAATTAAGGAGACACTAAACAAAAGGAGGAAAAAAACACGAACTAAGGAGACACCAAACAAAAGGACGAACAAAACACGAACTAAGGAGACTCTAAACAAAAGGAGGAACAAAACAAAACACGATCTAAGGAGACACTAAAACAAAAGGAGGAACAAAACACTAACTAAGGAGACACCAAACAAAAGGAGGAATAAAACACGAACTAAGGAGACACAAAAACAAAAGGAGGAATAAAACACGAACTAAGGAGACACCAAACACAGGGACGAACAAAACACGATCTAAGTAGACACCAAATAAAAAGCAGGAACAAAACACAATCTAAGTAGACACAAAAACAAAAGAGGGAACAAAACACGAACTAAGGAGACTCCAAACACAGGGACGAACAAAACACGAACTAAGTAGACACAAAAACAAAAGGAGGAACAACAACTGATAGGACAACGAAAACAAGAGAAATGACAACAAACAGAACTGAGGAGACACAAAATAATAGAAAAGAACAACAGCACGATCTAAGTAGACACCAAACAAAAGGGGGAACAAAACACGAACTAAGTACACACCAAAACAAAAGGGGGAACAAAACACGAACTAAGGAGACTCTAAACAAAAGGAGGAACAAAACACGAACTAAGGAGACACCAAACACAGGGACGAACAAAACACGAACTAAGTAGACACAAAAACAAAAGAAGGAACAAAACACGAACTAAGTAGACACAAAAACAAAAGAAGGAACAAAACACGAACTAAGTAGACACCAAAACAGAAGGAGGAACAAAACACTAACTAAGGAGACACCAAACAAAAGGACGAACAAAACACGAACTAAGGAGACTCTAAACAAAAGGAGGAACAAAACAAAACACGATCTAAGGAGACACTAAACAAAAGGAGGAACATAACACGATCTAAGGAGACACCAAAACAAAAAGAGGAACAAAACACGAACTAAGGAGACTCCAAACACAGGGACGAACAAAACACGATCTAAGTAGACACCAAATAAAAAGCAGGAACAAAACACAATCTAAGTAGACACAAAAACAAAAGGGGGAACAAAACACGAACTAAGGAGACTCTAAACAAAAGGAGGAACAAAACAAAACACGATCTAAGGAGACACCAAACAAAAGGGGGACCAACTCACGAACTAAGTAGACACCAAATCAAAAGGAGGAACAAAACACGAACTAAGTTAAGTAGACACCAAAACAAAAGGAGGAACAAAACACTAACTAAGGAGACACTGAACAAAAGGAGGAACAAAACACGATCTAAGGAGACACCAAAACAAAAGGAGGAATAAAACACGATCTAAGGAGACACCAAACAAAAGGAAAATCATCACGATCTACAACAGGCTTAATAAACATAATAATACTGACCATAGTGCATGATGAATTTTCCAAATTTCGATCGATCTAAGGGCTTCTTTTCATCTGTATTCTCTTCCTCTTCTTGTGAACTGTCATCGTTGTCATCTGTCTTTTCGTCGTCTTTTCCCTTTTTCTGCATGTCGGGTGTTGCTGATTGTTGCTCGTCGTCAACTTTGATGGGAGTGATATAAACTGACGTTTTCCCCGTCAACATGATGTAAAAGCTGTGGAAGACAAAACACCGTGTTAAATGAACAGTATGATGTTTGTCCGGCGGCAGTAAACCTCAAGTAGACCCCGTCTACTATAGATCTGTGTACCTGTATTAAATCAGTGTTTGTATACACCATATACTTACAGTAGAACAATGGTTTTGATCGATTAACGAAATGTTTCAATACGGTAATCTGGCCGAGGACGTGACGGCGAGGCTAGCGATAGAGACAGTGACAATGGAACAGTGACACACTCAATGGCTTTGTCAATAACGAATAGGTCGGCTCTTGGTAAATGTTGTTCTTTCCCAAGTTAATGTTTCATCTTGTTTTTGTATTGTTAATCACAGCAGTAGTCCCATTCATTTTACCTTTTATACGGTATTATGTTTCTTACTGTATATATAATAACAATACCTTTTCATCAAATTATGTTTTCCTTTCAGAATGACGACGGGTTACATCTCATGGTCTACATAGAATGTCAATATCGCTGTTATCCTTTCACAAATAGGAATTCAAAATGGCATTGGACTTAAAACGGGAGAATTCGATGTGAGGATAATAAATTGTGATGTTAAAGGTATAGCAAACTGTATGATTATTGTCATTGGTGAATAAAAGAAAATAGGTAGTGAATAACTTATCGTTCTCTTTTCTCTAATCGCTCAGGACTACCGATTCGTTCCTGTACATATTTTGTATGTATGCTACCATTGATCGACCTACCCTCTCCTATCTGAATGACCAACATGAACCTTCTCTCCACACCCGGATCAAATTCCGATTTAACAAAAGGCATTTCGCCCCTTCTGGTCTCGAATCTCCACTAGCATCAACATGCTATCCTAAAAGTCCCTCTTACATGGTTCGTCCCTCCACATCCGGTCCGGGGTCCCCTGTGGTAAGACCCTATTATATTATCAACTTCTGGCCAAAGTTCCCTGTAGCATGACCCTATCATCCACTATGGTCTCAAGTTTCTCAAACAGTACCCGTCTCCCAAATCTGGTGACAGTTCCCTGTAACATAACTCTATCATCCACTACAATCTCCAGTTTCCCAAAACAGTACCTGTCTCTCCAAATCTGGTCTAAGTTCCCTGTTATTTAACCCCTTTTACTATATCCGTTCATAAGACTCCTTTAACATGACCCTTGTTTCTTCCAGTCTCTCCTTCCCCCGGTCCTACGTGACCCTGTTACCTGTCGCCCAGCTCCCCTTGTCCCCGGTCCTACGTGCCCCTGTTGCCTGTCGCCAAGCTCCCCTTGCCATCGGTCCTACGTGACCCTGTTACCTGTCGCCAAGCTCCCATTGCCTCCGGTCCTACGTGACCCTGTTACCTGTCGCCCAGCTCCCATTGCCTCCGGTCCTACGTGATCCTGTTACCTGTCGCCCAGCTTCCCTTGCCCCCGGTCCTACGTGCCCCTGTACCCTGCCCCCAGCTCCCCTTGCCATCGGTCCTACGTGACCCTGTTACCTGTCTCCCAGCTCCCCTTGTCCCCGGTCCTAGGTGACCCTGTTACCTGTCGCCCAGCTCCCCTTGTCCCCGGTCCTACGTGACCTGTTACCTGTCGCCCAGCTCCCCTTGGGTGATGATCAGGTCGTCACGGTTCGCCTTCTGGTACGCACAGTTCCTCATGACGTCAGTTAGGATAGCTGAAAATCAAAAGAATACCGTCGTTAAGATGTTTCAATACATGTTGTAACCTTTAATTGAGAAACATCATTATGGCAATCACTAATATATTAATCATGTAATCATTGTAAGTATATTTATGTTATAGGTTTTTAGTTTAAAACATGTGTTGAGCGAATTGGGAGGAATCTGCGTGTGACAGCATTGTTTAAGTTTGGGTTTGAGGGTATTCAAACATTCACGTGTTACAACATTGTTTAAGTTTGGGTGTGAGGGTATTCAAACATTCACGTGTGACAACATTGTTTAAGTTTGGGTGTGAGGGTATTCAAACATTCACGTGTGACAACATTGTTTAAGTTTGGGTGTGAGGGTATTCAAACATTCACGTGTGACAACATTGTTTAAGTTTGGGTGTGAGGGTATTCAAACATTCACGTGTGACAACATTGTTTAAGTTTGGGTGTGAGGGTATTCAAACATTCACGTGTGACAACATTGTTTAAGTTTGGGTGTGAGGGTATTCAAACATTCACGTGTGACAACATTGTTTAAGTTTGGGTGTGAGGGTATTCAAACATTCACGTGTGACAACATTGTTTAAGTTTGGGTGTGAGGGTATTCAAACATTCACGTGTGACAACATTGTGAAAATTAAATTGTGACAGTATTATATATCGACACGGCAGATGAAAGAAACTTTTATCACTAATTCATACGTTTAACATGGTATAAAGAAATCATGGTACCACATGTACAACTAACGTTTATCTGAAGTACCGGTGTGACTAATATTGATTACAAGTAACAAACATCATCTAAACGGTTTTATTGCAGCATTTAAAACTACGCTAGCTAAACATTTAACACAAGGTCTATTCTTGACACACATTATCACTACGTGCTTGTTCGCGTTGTCCTCAGCCAGGGTCTATTGTTGTTATGTTTCAAGTGATTCATAATTCACTTGTATGGACAACACTTTGTATGGAGTGCTCTTCATTTCATAGATTGTAAACATTCATTCTGGCAACTTATTTGTTATCGAGATCTTACACAAACACGAATTATAAATCTTAACTTTTACTTTAACAAATGTCTTTCCACTTTAGTAAATGTCATTCAACTTTCAGAACAATGCTATTGCAATGCCTTAAACGTATACATAAATGAATCATGGAACATTTTTCCTGTGCTCTTTGTCCTTTATTACGAAATAAACTTTCCACCTATCGTCTTTCAAATAAACACGTTTCACCCATTTTATAGAACTCTGATAGTTACACAGATATCAATATGGCATATAACAACAGGTAAACAACAATAAATGTTATCAAGTTAAACAATACAGTGAGCGGGCCTACTTTCACCTGTTCTGCCGACATGTTATCAATTTAAACAATACAGTGAGCGGGCCTACTTTCCTCAGTTCTGCCGACATGTTATCAATTTAACCCATACAGTGAGCGGGCCTACTAGCATCTGTTCTGCCGACATGTTATCAAATTAAACCATACAGTGAGCGGGCCTACTTTTTTCAGTTCTGCCGACATGTTATCAAGTTAAACCATACAGTGAGCGGGCCTACTTTCACCTGTTCTGTCGACATGTTATCAAGTTAAAC